GGATCTTGTTAAAGTTATATTAAGATGTTTAGCCCCTGATGCATCTGCTGTGATGAAAGGTAAATTAATTTCGGTCTGTGTGGTTGATGATAGCTCTATCTTAGCTTTCTCAGCTGCCTCTCGGAGTCTTTGCAGGGCAAGCCTGTCTTTTGACAGGTCAATTCCATCTGTCCTTCTATACTCATTCACCAGAAATTCCAACAACGCGTTGTCAAAATCCTCTCCTCCCAAAAAGGTGTCCCCATTCGTTGCTTTGACCTGAGTAGTAGTTAAGAGGAGTCTGATAGTCAGAAGAAAAAACAAGAAGATGAAAAACATAAGAGATCACAAAAAAATTCAATTACCTCAAAAACACCATTTGATATTTCCAAAATAGAAACATCGAAGGTACCACCACCAAGATCAAAGACTGCAACAAGACCTTCCTTGTTGTTCATACCGTAAGAAAGTGCTGCTGCAGTAGGCTCATTAATAATCCTTTGCACATCAAGGCCTGCAATTCGCCCCGCATCCTTGGTTGCCTGCCTCTGAGCATCATTGAAATAAGCTGGAACAGTGATCACAGCTTTATTTATAGACTTCCCTAGATAGGCCTCTGCAGTTTCCTTCATCTTTGTTAAAATAAATGCTCCAATCTGACTTGCGGAATACTGCTGTCCATTGGCTTCAACCCAAGCATCTCCATTGGGAGCTCTCACTATTTTGTAAGGAACCATCTTCATTTCCTTCTGTGTCTGGGGATCATCAAACCGCCTACCAATTAGACGCTTGGTGCCAAATACGGTATTTGTAGGATTGGTGACTGCCTGACGTTTGGCCGGAGTACCAACAAGCAATTCCCCCTTTTGGTTAAACGCAACTACTGACGGAGTGGTCCTAGATCCTTCAGCATTCTCAATCACTTTAGGGTTCTGCATGAATAAAAGCATCAAACCATGTCTAAAATTCACCAAAACCAACTCAGTCTGCACTTAAACAGTGATCCCACAAAAGAACAAGTTTAACCCATTCCTAGTGAACTCTCTTACCTTGCCCTCCATTACTGCAACGCATGAGTTTGTTGTACCCAAGTCAATCCCAATAATCTCATTTCCAGCAGGTCTAGAGCTGCACCATATGAAAGATGAGTTCCAGTAGAAAAGTAAATATCATCATCTTACAGAAAGGTGAAAGAGATGAGACATAAGGCAGTTACCAAAACGGTCTGGCTAGACCAGCACATTTGGCACCACCAAGTGTTAGACACCATGACGGCTTAGTGTTCGAAGCAAACTGCAGAAGCCATACATAGTACCCACATAAGCAAAAGTTTATTTTTCAACAAAAAAGTTCTCATCTTGATTTAATTTTAAGTTTAAAAAAACACAGCAAAGTTCGCATACGAGAATTCACTAACTGCGAACAAAGAATACGTATGAATGTTAACCAGTCAACGAGCCGGGCATAGACAGCATCAACCAAGTCATTCTTACAACAGATAGATGCATTTCACCAGATGAACTAAAGAGGATATCACTCCACATTTGTCTTAACAAACAAAATGATAGACTTCTCCCCACTTCAAGAAAACGCATTAGGAGTTACAAACACATTTTCCTCCCTTGATAGAAATCTGCCTAGCAAGCATGCAAATTTCACCATGCTACTCAGAGTGGGTAATCTCCCAACATGACACATGATACCCATCACAAAGGCAGGCTCCCTTTCCATCTCCCTCAGGAATATATTCCACTACCTTCCCTCAATCCCAAACTAGTTGATATCAACTATATGAATAAAGCAATAAGGACATTTCATCCCAATGTTATATCATTTTTCTTCTAAGGTGAATTATGAGTTCCCTAAAAACTATATGAATCCAGCAACCAGGGCCATTTCATCCCAATGATATATCATTTTTCTTCTACAGTAAATATGAGTTCTCTAAGAGTGTGTTTGCTACTAGGGAAAACGACTTCCCGGAAAATATTTTCCATGAGAAGGTCATTTTCTGGTGTCTGTATGACACATGTCATTTTTCCATGGAAAACATTATCCATCAAAGGGAGGAAAATGAGTTCCATCACTTACGGTCAGAAGTCATTTTACTTACAACTATCTTAACTTTTAGCTTCATATTATTTATTTCAACTAACACTTACACATTATTATCAATCTCTAGTACTCAAAAGTTTCATCAAACACTCTCCAATTTGTTTTTCTGTTAAAATATATTTTCCACTCACCAACCAAAGACCAAAAAATATTTTCTAGGAAAATGACTTCTTTCATACCAAACACACCCCAATATAAAAGCAATGACCAAAAACAAATAGTACTACAAACACTTCTGGTTGATCAGAACATGTTTGGTGAGAATCCCTTTTAAATATAAAAGCCAAAAGACGACTGCACCTTAGTGATAACTTCAGAATATAAGATTAGAATTCGAAACCCCAATTTTTTGGGAAAAATACAAAATTGGTGAATTGGCCAAAACTATTTGCATTTGCTAGTCAAAAAGTGTATAAAATATGCATATTATATGTATATGATATACATATATAAAAAAATTATACATTTTATTGGATATTATTTTTGGGAGGACTACAAATATACATTTCTCTATTTTTTTTAACTACAAGGGGAAAGTAAATGACAGAATATTTTCACTAACAACACAATCTGATCTAACATCCAAAAATACTGAAATGATTAAAGATTAAACAGATAAAAATTGTGAAAATAATTGAAGGATAAGAAAGAGGGAGACTTCACATACAGCTTTATAAGCAGAAAGAGAAGAAGTAGCAATGTCACGGCGACGAAGAGATCTGAGCAATACGGCGGCCGCCATCGGAGGAAACAGTAAGGAACGACGAGCTTGCAGCTTCTGTTAATGGAGGCTAGGGTTTAGGGTTTTAGAAATTATTCCAGTAGTCGCTTCGGGAAAGGGAAAATATAGGTGGCGTGGCGGTGTACAATTAAACTACGACTGTGTGAGAAAGTTCTAGAGGTATGTGATGTCGCCTTCTATACTCTTCTTTTTCCTTTGTTTTTCTATTTTTTTCGTCCATAATTTTGTTTTTTGAATAATTTCCTTCTCTAATAATTGTCTAGTCAATTAGTTTTGTGACTCATTACTATATTTTTATTTTTGTGATAAAATTTTCAAGAGACCTTTATTTTCACATGTCAAAATTTAGAAAATAAAACACAACTGTATCACTTTCTTAATTTCTTCTATTCAATATAAAAGATAAAATATATGTGTACAAAAAAAACCGATAAACCGCACCAAACCGATAATCCGAGTCAAACCGGAAAAAAAAGCCAATTTTGATTTAATTTGGTTTGGTATTGAAAAATAAAACTCGAACATAATTAGTTTGGTTTGGTTTGGTTTGGTTTGGTTTGGTTTTAACTAAAAAAAATCAAACCAAAACCAAACCAACCCGATAGTACATTTATATAATTTTAAAAAATATTTTATACATATAAATATTTATTGTAATGTAATTTATTAAACTTTTTCACAGTTTTATCTTTTAACGTATTATTTCAAGTTTAGACTTAACATTCTTGAATGGTAAATAAATTTTATAGTCCATAAATGTAGTAACTCAAACAAAGTTCAAATCAATACTAATGCTAACAAAAGAAATTCAATTCAATACTAGGAATAACGATATTTATGGATAATTATTATAGTTTTACATTGATTTATAATGAAAATGCATAACTTAGTTTATCTTTTTCTTTATTGCTTAATTATGTAATTAATATTAGTACTTATTAACTATACTTATTTTAACATGACTATATAGTATTTTTAGATTATGTTAATTTTTATTATGGCTTATTAATTAACAATATTTATTTTATGTAATTTTATTACTTTATCTTTGTTATTGAATATTTTAGTATAATGCTATGACTTATCTCATATTATTGTGTTAGTTTCTTGGAAAAACACATTATATAGTTGTATTTTACTAGGACTTAAGAAATATTGGAGCAGAAGTTACATCTTTTATGCTACGAAAACTTTATAGGAAAAAAAAAAACCGAAAACCAAAAAAAAAACTGAAAAACCCGAGAAAATCGAGATTGAAAAACCCGATTTTGTTGGTTTGGTTTATGAATTTAAAAATCCGACATCATTAATTTGATTTGATAATTAAAAAATTCGAACCAACGTGACATACGTACACCCCTACTTGACACCAATTGCTTTGCAGAGGGCAGCTCAATTCAAACCTGGATCAGAACCTTAATTTTTATAAAACAAAACTTTATATATATATATTTTGAAGCCTATTTTCTAACTTTTTTAAAATACAAAATTATTAATAATTTTTTATAGTCAATTTCTTCTAGTAATTTTTTAATTGATAAAATATATAGCTAATTCATTTAATTTCCTTTGGTTAATGACCTTAGATTAGATTTTACTAATTTTAAATTTGAAAAATGTCTTTTCACATATACTGTCGTATGCGTACATGAAAATGGATCTTTAAAAAGTGGAGTGATCTAGTTGGTAACTAGCCCGAAACAGGAGTTCAATTTCTTCCTGTTATTTATAATAGTACGATACTGTCATTTCTTTTAGAAGTATTAGATCGTTTTATTTGAGATTTGTTCAAATTGAGCTTAACAATTTTTGTCGGTTCAACATATATTCCCAATTTTAGCTTGCCTTAGAATGCAAAGTTAGTATAGAAAATAGTTTTTAAACAGAAACTAATTGAGTTCGAAATGGATTGAACTGTTTTCGAATTTAAAGGGGAAAAAACAGCCAATTCGAACTGTCTTCAGAAATCAAAATAGCTTACTTCTAAAGAGCTGAGTACAAAAGTGATTTTCTCTTTTAGGTATTTGAGTAGTTTTCTAAATAAAACACCACTGAAGTGATAATTCATAGGCGACAAGGGTCTGGTCTTAATTGCTGTGGCACTAGCAGCTCGGCCACACTGAAGATCAGTCCAGAAACACAACCAAAGAAAAGAAACTTAAAAGACAAGGGAAGCAGCATATTTCCAATTAAGTGATTTATTTGACAACAAACAGCATGGTTCCTTTTCACTTGTGAATGCGTTCACAAAAATTCTACTATTGGCTAATCATGGTAAAGGTTGGTCTCGTCTCTCGACTTGGAGAACAAAAAAATCACAGGCATAAGCAGTTCAAATCAACTTTCTAGTTACAGAATGCTAGGGGAGAAAATTTCATTTCAAAAAAAAGAATGAGTCTCAAAAACAACTCCAATATGCCATCCTCAGTGTTCCCCAAGAAATTCTACTTCTTCACTTCCTCATACTCGGCCTCAGGGGCTCCCCCTTGAGAACCTCCTTCAGAGCCACCTTCAGTCGCACCTCCGGCACCACCAGCCATATGCTGTCCAATCTTAGAAACAGCCTTGTTTGCTACATCAAGCTTCGATTTGATTTCATCAACGTTATCACCTCCCATTGCCGTTCTCAAATCAGAAACAGCTGTTTCAATTTCTGTAGCCACCTCCTTGGGGACCTTGTCCCTGTACTCATTCAAGCTCTTTTCAATACTGTATATGGTAGTGTCTGCACTGTTCCTGATATCAATCAGTGCCTTCCGCTCCTGATCCCTCTGGGCATGCAACTCAGCTTCCTTAACCATCTTGTCTATCTCATCTTCTGAGAGTCCACCAGATGATCGAATAGTGATCTGCTGTTCT